TTTTTAGTAGGAGACCCAATCTGCTGCCCAGGCTGGAGTGCAGTGGCATGCTCCTGGCCACCGCAGCCTCGACCTGCTGGGCTCAGGCGATCCTTCCACCTCAGCCTTCAGGTAGTTGGAACTACAGGCATGCGCTACCACTTCCTGCTAATTTTTTGATTTATTGTAGAGATGAGGTCTCGCCAAGTTACCCAGACTGGTCTCGAACCTGTGGGCTAAGGCAATCCTCTCACCTCAGCTCCCTACATGTTCTAATAGAAAGATTCAAGGAATCTTGCTGGCCGAGGTGGCGCATGCCTGCAATCCCAGCACTTTGGGAGGCCAAGGCAGGAGGATTCTTTTTTTTTTTTTTTTGAGTTGGAGTCTCACTCTGTCGCCCAGATTGGAGTGCAGTGGCCTCTCCCGGCCACCGCAACCTCGACCTGCTGGGCTCTGGCGATCCTTCCGCCTCAGCCTTCCAAGTAGCCGGAATTACAGGCGCATGCTACCACGCCCAGCTAATTTTTTGATTTATTTTAGAGATGAGGTCTCGCTACCCAGGTGGGTCTCGAACCCGCGGGCTCAGGCAATCCACTCACCTCAGCCTCCCAAAGGCGCGGGATTATAGGCTGAGCCACCGAGCCCGGTTTGCAGGAGGATTCTTGAGGCCAGGAGTTCGCGACCACTCTGGGCAACATAGTGAGACATATCTCTACAAAAAAACACAAAAATTAGCCCATGGTGGCTTGTGCTGTAGTTCTGAGGCTGAGGTGGGAGGATGACTTGAGCCAGGAGTTTGCGTCTGCTGTGAGATTTGATTACATCACTGCACTGTTGCCTGGCCACACCCTAAACCATGAATCCTATTTCTCTTCTGACCCAAAGCACTAAAGGCAGCAGGGAAATACATAGGCTAAAGGACCAGCTCATGTGTGGCTGAGCCTTGCTGATAAGTCTGTTCTTCTGGATCTTCTCACAAACTTCTGCTTACCCTACCACCTTCCATCTTGGATCTTCCAAAGACACCGCCGGCCCCCACCCCGACCCCGCACCTCTCAAAGGCCTCTTCACGGTGTTAGGTCACTGAAGCGTGTTGTTACATCAAAACTCAACTTCTATCACTCAATGGCCAAATGGTGCAAAATTAAAAAATAAATGTTTTTGCTTTAACTGAGCATCTCACGAAGTGTTCCCAGGAGCTCTGTAGGTGCGAGGCAGGAGGGAGTGTGCCCCCCTTTTTTTTTTTTGAGTTGGAGTGTCACTCTGTCACCCAGACTGGAGTGCAGTGGCCGCTCCCGGCCACCGCAGCCTCGACCTGCTGGGCTCCGGCGATCCTTCCACCTCAGCCTTCCAAGTAGCTGGAACTACAGGCGCGTGCTACCACACCCGGCTCATTTTGATTTATTGTAGAGATGCGGTCTCGCCAAGTTACCCAGGCGGGTCTCGAACCCGCGGGCTCAGGCAATCCACTCACCTCAGTCTTCCAAAGGCGTGGGATTACGGGCTGAGCCACCGAGCCCGGCTATCAGTGTGCCCATTTTATGCAGGAGGAAGCTCAGGCTCTGAGAAGCCAAGAAGCTGGAGGGCTGGTGGGGTCTGGAGCCTGGGTCTTTTGACCCCAGCTCCAGGTCCTCCACGTCACAGCCCCTTCCAGGAGACAAGTGTCCCTCATGCCTGCCCTTCCCCGGCCCCTTCAGCTCTGCCAGCCCCACCCTTCCACTCACTCCCAGCCCTTGCCCATGGTGCTGCCTCTTGGCTGAAGGTCCCCGGGGCTGGGGGTCTGTTCCTGCTTCCAGGGGCCTCCCCCACCCTGTGTGAATGGCCTCCGCCGCCCCACTCCCACCCCTGGGTGCCCATCTCCTCGGTGGGCATGGCACAGCTGAGGAGCCGCTGCTAATTAGCGCTCAGCGATGTCAGAGCTATTTCTGATTTCAGAGCCTAAATTTAGCCCGTCTGGCAGGCTGCATGTGAGCCTGGGGCCTGAGAAGGCCCAGGTGGGGAAGGAGCATGGGGCGTCCTGCCCTCTGCCACTGGTCAGACAGGTGTCCCGGTCCTCAGCAGAGCCGCCCTCCCCGTAGTGACCACTGGGCTGCCCTGGGGGTGGGGACCAGGGTGGTGGCTGAGAGTCAGCTCTAGGTGTGAAGCCACCAGCTCCCCTCCCACCGGCTCGTAACCTTGGGCAGGTCCAAAGTGAATCTGTGCTTGCACCTGTGAGATGGGGGCAATGACGGTGGCTGAGGGGGATGACAGCAGTGAGGGTGGAAGGTCGTCCTAGGCCCAGGATCGCGGGCAGCATTCCATCCCAGCCGCCGCCATGGCGGTTGGGTCCTTACAGTGACTAGTCCCTGCCGCTGGGGCCATTCCAGAACCAGACAGCCCTGCGGGCTGGGCCGCCCTCACTCCCGGCTGCCTCTCCCTCCTTGTGCTAGCCGGGCCACCGCTTCCTCCTTTCTCCCCAGTCTGGCTCCCCACCCTCATCTCTGCGGGCTGGGCTGGGACTGATCAGACAGACAGAGGGACAGAGCCAGGCAGAGCATGGCCTCCCCTCCCTTGTGCTCCTGGGCAGCGCCTCCCATGGGGCGACAGGAGCCGTCCTGGGCCTTGCACAGTGCAGGAGGGTGCCCTATGTGACAGTGGGTGGTAGTTTCCTACGGCCAGGCTTGCTTTCGCAATGGGGGAGAGGGATGACATACCCGCGCTTCCAACCAGCTGGCGGGGGTGGGAGTGAGGGTGGGGACCGGCGGATGGGCAGTGTCACCTCTTGAGTGGGGCCCCTGCCAGAAAGCTTGGGCAATGGGGCCTGAGCATACCCTGCTTCCTGTTGTTTGGGGCTGACCCACGGCCGTGATTTTTGGGGTGAGGTCTGGCTGGTGCCCCAGAACCAGGCCTGCCACCCCAGGGAGGAAGCTGGCAGAGGAGCCTTGGGTGGGCGTGGTCCCCTCCCTGCTCCAGCTGTGGCCTCTCCTCTGTGCCACGTGACTGAGCCCTAGGGCTGGCCATGGGAGCCCCAACTCTGTTCTGTGGCACGGTGGGGCTCCCACATCCCCATTGGAGACCCTGGTGAAACTCGGAGCTCCCTGAGGGCAAGACGTGTCTTTCCAGGGCTGACATGCAGCAGGCCCTCGGGCAGCTGGGGCTGGCTGACTTGGGGTGAACTGCCTCATCTTTTGGGTCCATTAGGGAGATAAGCCAAGTCTTGGGGTCCAGAAAGCCCCTGGTGCAGTGCACACCTGGTTGATGCCATAGCCCTGGGCTGGGCACTCCCCTCCCTGAGGTGATGGGCTGCTAGGCCCTGGTGTCTGTGGCCTGGGGGAGGACCCAGGCAAGGCAAGGCTCTGCTGACTTTTCCAGGCCCCAATGGCTGTCTCTGAGTCAGCCCCACCGCACAGAGACAAGGGGAGTCCCAGCGGGGCTGTCAGCACCACCGAGTCAGCATGCTGGCAGTTCTCTCCAGTGCTGCGACTGAATGACCTTTTCCCCCAAATCCCTGCCCCTGCAACTGTGAAGCACCTCGCCCCCCTCGGCCCCCTCGGCCATCTCCTTCCCACCTCAGCTTCCTCCTCCAGCTAGGGGGGCTGGAGGGGGCTGGGAGGGGCCTGCGGCTACCTTTTTCTCTGGTGTTTGTGAGGCACCGGTGCCTTGGGACCTGGTCTGTGTACACATGGTGTCTTGTGGCACGTGAAAACTGGCCACTGGCCACACCTGGGCCTGGCTGGAGATGACTCTCCTGGTGGCCCCCACCCAAACAGGGGAAGAGGGTGTCCCCTGTCACGATGGGGAGCCAGAGCCCAGAGTAGTCTGAGGTCCTCAGGGAGAGAGGCTGAACACCCATGCACCTGCCCCCATGCCAGGTGGGCTAGGGAAGCAGTGTGGGGTGGCAGAGCCCAGGCAGACCTGGGTTCAAATCCTGAAGTCACCTTCCAGCTGTTGGGCCCTGGGGACAGCACTGTGCTTCTTAGGGTCTCCACTTTCTTATTAGATCTTGCTACTTGTCCCCTGGTTTGAGAGGGTGAGGAGCTCTGTGTGGGTGACACCCCTACCAGGGAGCTGAGTGGCGTCCCCGGAAATGCCCATCCTCCCCTCCCCCTTCACCTGGGCCCAGGCTCAGGGTCATCACTTGACCCTCCTGTCCCCAGAACTGCATGAACTTGCCTCCGGACAAGGTCCAGCTGCTGAGCCAGTATGACAACGAGAAGAAGTGGGAGCTCATTTGCGACCAGGTGGGTCCCAGGGCCACCCTGCCCACTGTCAGGCACCTGCCCTGCCCGGTGTGGTGTCTGGGGAGGGAGCTGGGGGTTCCCCCAGGATTTTAGAGTACCCTACTCCGGGATGTGACCCTCCACAGAGACCTTGTGGGGCAACAGCAGGGCTGGGTTGTCTCAGAAGAGCCAGCAGAGTTGGTCCAGGACACTGACCAGGGCAGCTGGGGCCCATCACCATCCTCCTGCTGGGCTTGCTGAGTGGCCTCCTTTGGCCTGGGGCTGAGGCGGGAGGGAGTGGCCTGGGGTGGGGTGGACATCTTGGCTTGACCCCAAGGGAGGTGGGGAGGAAGAAACCCTGGTCCTCCTCTTGCCATCCACCTGCAGCACCCAAGGCCAGCGAGCTCAGCCCTGACCTGCACTCTGTCAGGCGCTGGGGCTCACTGGGTGCTGCCCTCCAGCTGCTGGGGCTCTGTCTGCGGAAGGAGCACCCTCTCCTGGCACTGGGTGGAGCGGGCCTGGCTGCTCCTGGGATTCTGTGGAAGAAGGAGGTCGTGGAGGCTGGGCCGGGAAGGCGGGAGCTAGGAGCCTCCCCTGGGAGCAGGGCTGAGCCTCGCCCCCTGCTAATGGGCCTGAAAGGCCTGAGCTGGCAGGGCGGCAGCAGCCTGAGGTGGGGTTGGGCCATGGGAGGAGGGTGAGGGCTTGCCCTGGGCTCTCGGGCTGTGGGGGGAGGCTTCTGCTGGGGGATCGGCCTGTCATCTCAGAGATTGGGGCCTCAAGGGCAGAGCGGACAGCCGGGAGTATCTGAGGGTGGAAGGGGGGTGCTCCTCTGGGTGGGGTCCCCGCTGGGTCCCTGACTCTTTGAAGTGGCCACTGGAGCCGGGATGGCTGGGAGTTCAGAGGTGCTTCACTGAGCTCGGGAGGGGAACCGCTCACTCAGGTACCCACCCAGCAGGCCAGCAGGACGGCTGGGGGTCCTGGGGACGGCCCTCCGCCTGCCAAGGCATCAGGGCCCTTTCCGTGGGTCCCCCCACACTGGTCCAGGGAGGGCGCCGCCTGCTGGCCAGACGGAGTTCCGCCCAGGGCCCAGCCTGCCAGACTGACCTGTGTCCTCCACCCCAGAGCTGTGCCGGGGTGGTGGCCTGGGAAGCCAGGATGCGACGGGCAGACTAGGCCCAGGACAGGGGTCCTCACCGCTGCCTGGTGGGTCACCTGGGCTTATGCCTTTGGTATTTCAGAGGCAGCCTGGGACCCTGGGTCAGAGCTGAGAGTGGGGAACTGGGTTGCTAGGCCTTTGCCCCGGCAGCTCCGGCCGGCTCCCTGTACACTCCCTTCTGCCTCCCCAGGAGCGGTTTCAAGTCAAGAACCCCCCTGCAGCCTATATCCAGAAGCTGAAGAGCTTCCTGGACACCGGGGGGGTCAGCCGTAAGGTAGCAGCTGACTGGATGCCCAACCTGGGGGTACATGTCTGCCTCTTTACTCTGTCGCTTCCTCCACGCTTCCAAGCTCCTGGCAGCTGGAGTGACTGTGTGTGTAGACTTTCCTGTGGCTGTGTGGCTGCCCGTGTGTATGTATAGGAACTGAGGGTGCTCTGGGTGTGCACTTTTACAGGCTCCTCTGTGTACCCCAGATGTGCTTACATGTGTACGCTTGTGTGGAGTTGTACTGTGTGTGTGCATGTGTGCCTCATGCCTCCATGCATACACACACACACTCATATGTGTGCTTTGTGTGCCTGTGTATAGATAGGTGTGTGTGTGTGTATGTGTGTGTGTGTACCCCGTGTGCCCGTGTATGGGTGTGCACCCTGCATGTCTGTGTATGCGGGAGCTCATGTCGCCTGTGCGTGCTTACTCTGCAGGGCAGGTGTATGGAGGTGGCGGGGGCGGCGGAGCGTGAAAGGCCGCGTGTGCCAGCAGGGGGTGACCACTGCTGCCCGCTGCCTCAGGACTTGGCAGGCCTGTGGGAAGCCGGCCTCCACCCACCAGACTTCCCTGCTCTGCCCCCAGTTTAAAAGGCGAGTCCAGGAATCCACGCAGGTGCTGCGGGAGCTGGAGACCTCCCTGAGGACAAACCACATCGGGTGCGCGAGGGCCCAGGGC